AAACACAAGTTGGTTGTATTCACAATCAATGACTCAGATTAAACGGCTAAAAATTCAGGGTAAAAAATCCCAGTTTTTTAAAAGAACATTCAAACAAAATTTAAAACAACGTTATTTACAGTGTGCCGTAAAGGCCAAAGGTCTGTATAAAATCGAGAATTCTGTTGGGATCAACGATTCTGTTGGGATCAACGACAGAGAACAGGTCTTGCAATTTTATTTTTTCGTTTAAAATCCTTCTTTCGTTTCTCTCCAAAGTCTGGACATTCTGTAAAGATGTGTCTAGTGGTGAAATCTGAGTCGCATCCGACCCAGAACGGTTTCTCTTCTCCCTGAAGGAGGTATTTATGTGTCAGGGATGTGTGTCCGATGCGTAATCGAGTAAAAATTACTTCGTCTCTTCTGGAGAGGACCCAAGGTTTTCGTGGACCCAGTGTGGGCATAATGTTGTGAATTGTGTCTCCCACAGACTGGAGATGCAGTTTTTTAAACTTTATTTCTAAAGTCAGTCAGTGGGAGAGTGTTTGTCGTTGATCCCAACAGAAGGGACAAGGATTCTTTCGCAAGGAGGTCCACTTGCTCGTTTCCTCGGATGCCCACATGGCCTGTGTGCATGTGCCTGTGCGCGTGTGCGTATGCGAGCGTGTGTGTGTGCCCTGGCTTTTCAGTGTTTAAAGCCTGTGTTATTTGTACTTAACAGTGTGTGTGTGCATGTGTGTGAGTGTGCATTTGTATGTGTGAATGCGTGTGTATGTGTGTGTATGTGTGTATATGTGTGTGTGTGTGTGTGTGTGTGTGTGTGTGTGTGTGTATGTGTGTCTGTGTGTGCATGTGTGTGTGTGCATGTATGTGTATATGTGTTTCCATGCGTGTGCGTATGTGTGTGTATGTGTGTGTGTATGTGTGTGTATGTGTGTGTATGTGTGTGTATGTGTGTGTATGTGTGTGTGCGCGTGTGTGCGTGTGTGTGTGTGCGTGTGTGTGTATGTGTGTGTGTGCGTGTGTGTGTGTTTGTGTGTGTGCGGGCGCGTGAGCGTGTGCATGTGTTTGTTTACGCGATGTTTCAGTTTTGTTTTGATGACTGCAGCCAAAAGAAAAATGGTGGCTTGGAAAAGGGAAAGATAGCGTGAGAAGTAAATCGCCCAAGGATGCCACAAAATGTCAGTTCTCTGGAGGCAAAATACATCATTTTGGTTTCAAGAAAAAACTATCCCTGCCCCTTCCCCAATCCACCACCGCCCCTCTCCCACACACACCTCTCTTCCCCCACGCCTAAACACAGAGAGAGAGAGAGAGAGAGAGAGAGAGAGAGAGAGAGAGAGAGAGAGAGAGAGAGGGGGGGGGGAAGAGAGAGAGAGAGAGAGAGAGAGAGAGAGAGAGAGAGAGAGAGACATGTTAAGAAATGTATCAAACTATTGAAATATTCAGCTTTTAAAAAAACCATGAGAATATCAAAGAGTCTTACTGTGCTGCCTGCAGTAGGGCTGAGTCTGTATTCTCTTCCTTTTGCAGAGTCTCCTCCGCTGGCTAACCAAGGTCAATTCCTGACATCTTCCGAACTGAAAAAAGATTTAAGAACAATTAAGAACAGACCATAACTAATCAGCTCCTTTTACAAAATGGCAAAATGAGAATGACAATATGTTTAAAAAACGGGTAGGTCTTTTATACGATAAACGTAATTGTAAATGTTTTTAGCCCCCCATCAACACAAATCTGGTAGTTCTAAAGCAGAAGGATGTTACTTACAGACTTTTTGTTTGGATGAATGTGTATGGATTCATTCTTAAAACTATGTATTACATCCCTCCCCCCCCCCTCCCTCTCTCGCTCTCACTCTCACTCTCTCGCTCTCACTCTCACTCTCACTCTCTCACTCTCTGTCTCTCACTCTCTGTCTCTCTCTCTCTGTCTCTCTCTGTCTGTCTCTCTCTCTCTCTGTCTCTCTCTCTGTCTCTGTCTCTGTCTCTGTCTCTGTCTCTCTCTCTCTCTCTCTCTCTCTCTCTCCGCACCTATACATCACCCCTTTCACTTATATGACAGTATGTAACGGACTTTCCCCTTTATCTACTAGCTTTAAGCATGCACATGTTCATCAGTCACTTGGGTATGAAATGGTATGACTTTAACGCCCCTATCAACAATATTAGGTTATTCCAGGGGCGGGACCTAGTTTAACGTCAGTCTCCGATAGGACCGAACCAAGTGGGAAGTTCGTGTAAAGTGTCTTTCCCAAGGACACAACGTCGGACCGAGCTGAGGCTCGAACCCCGAGGCCGCAATCTCACGATTACGAGTACGGTAGCCTACCCACAAGGCCACCAGTCACTGGGAGCTTAGTAAGTATACGTAAGCACGTGCAAAATAAATGGTAGTTTTTTGTGTGAACAAAGATGTGTGTAGGCTTTGGTTCTAGTTCCTGTTCAAAGATGCACCGTTTAATTAGCTCTTTGAGAAAGCTTGGTTGAATCGAACTTTTTTTTAACAGCTTAACAATTTGTGCGTATGTGTTGGAATCCTGATGGGAGGGGATTGGCAGAAAAGGGGGGGGGGGTCAAATTTATGTTTCCCACTCTTAGTTTCTCGCTGTTCCGTAAGTCAATCTAAACTGAATAGTTGAACTATAAATAGGCCTAATTGACTAGTTGAACTATAAATAGGCCTAATTGAAGAGTTGAACTATAAATAGGTCTAATAGAATAGTTGAACTATAAATAGGCCTACTGTTTAACCACAAAAACATGGCAAGGATCATGATTTGAAGATGTGCCTTTTAAAAAATCAGGTGATAGATTTCGACCCAGAAACTGTGTCCCTCAGAAACACACACAAGCTTGACGTCTCATCGAGCTCAGCATTTTTCTCACAGCAACTGCAGGCAACAAATAGCCTGTCACTCCCCGATCAGCAAGATAAAAAAAAAACTGCAATTAGATAGCTAGTGCTGAAAGTAGTCTACATTTTCTTTATTTTTAGATACAGATGTTTTAAAACTCCGTGTCGATACAATTTATATCCGGGCCAGACTGGGCTGAGAGGGATACAACATGATTGATTGATTGAGTAGATGTTTTACGGCACTATCGACTCAATTAGGGATACAACATCCCATCAGAAAGTTCGAGGTACTGGATAAACATTCTTTCCTGTCAGGAATCAGAATCGAGACTTCTGCTTGTGACAAGGAAGCACCTAATCGGCAATCGCTGCCGCAGATTTCAGTGATTGATTGATTGATTTAGTAGGTGTTTTACGGCACTATCTACTCAATTTTGGTCATTTAAGTTCCAATAGGTTTCACCGCAACAAATCTAGAATAGGATCAGTCGTGTTTTAGCAAGAGTTTGTCGGAGCTCGCAACTGCACACGGCCATATTATCATCATCATGCTAAAAGGACGAACAGACAGATTTCAGTGAACGTACATGGGAGAGATTCAAACATGTGGAAAACGTCAGAGTTAGACATATTCTATTGCTAGCTGGGCCCCCTTTCGATGAAAGGAATGATCGGTGCATTAACATCAGCTGAAAGTCATTGACCTACTATATTTACACTCTAGTACTGGAATTCAGCCATAAATCTTGAGATGCAAAACAATTAGGTCTAGATTCTAGATTTATGCAACCAAGAGAGGAGGGGGGGAAGGGGGGGGGGATTACTGAGTCATGCTGAGTTTACTAAGGCAGGGATACATGACTACAATAAAGAACTCAAGATCAACATTGTGGCCACTTTAACAATTTAAATTTTATCTCCACATTAAGGGAACGACTAGAAAAGTCCAGTTTGGTAAGACCAAAAATACACCTAATACTTTTTTTCATATTATTGTAAATGTTTACTTTCAATACATGTATCAGCTCCTTGTGTTTGACTGGCCACAAGAAATAATAATCTAGATCTAAGTCTAGATGGTCGCTTTTAAGGACAAGCGGGCTAATCCAGATTTCGGGGGTTTTCCGGAAATTTTGACCGACACTAAAAGTGGACTTTGCGTTGAATTCTGTGACTTTGCCCTACTTATAGGAGAAGTTTGGTTTCATTGGTGTGTATGTTTGTTTGGTTATAGAGAGAAGTCTCATTGTCTTTTAAAGAAACTGAACAAGGGGCAAAAACTTTACTTTCGATTTTCTCAAAACAGCATTTTTCGGGATAGCCCCCTTGTGCTTAAAAGCGACCAAATTAATATAGATAGTCTAGAAATGTACACAACAAAATTACTTACTGTTGCCATGATGCTAATTCTTGAAAATGAAGTGTGTCGAAAGTTCGAGTGTAGATCTAGACGCTAGCTGTAGTGCAGAGAACGAAGCCACTGACACAAGTGACGGGCAAAGTGGAGTTTGACCAATGTCATTAACGTGAGTTCAATCCGTGAACGAAAAATCAGTGAACGAGGGTTCATGAAGTTTGAAAAAACAACAAGGTGTGTGTGTGTGCTTGAAAGTGGTTTGGGGGGGGGGTGAAAAAAGAAATGAATGAAATGAGTGAATGAAAGAGACAGACAGGGAGAGAGATAGAGAGAGAGAGAGAGAGAGAGAGAGAGAG